AGCCAATATGGTCCTGGGGCTAAATGGGCCGGCTCGTGGGCTTAGCGGGGCCTAACGGGCTTTTTTTATTTTCGGGTTTTTTTTTAATTTTTTTTATTAGGGCAATTTCTTTGTAAACCATATGTGTATGTATATATATAAATTGCTCTTATGCATGGCTATATAAATATATGTGTATATATAATATAGAAATCTATTTATTAAAGTGTTTGACGAAAATGTAAAATAACAAATCAATAGTAAACTAAATTTGCATGCATAATAAAATTAATAACAAAGTACAAACATGAAGCATAAATACGTCTAATAATTTTAAAAATAACACAAATTGTTGAAAAAATCTTAAAGACGATTTGCGGGATAAATACCCTCAACACAATATTTTATATGCCCTCCTTAAAATGCCTGTGGTACACCCTGAACGAAAATTTAAGACTCTTCCACACAGTTCTTGCACTTTAATATTTGGCCTTCTTCATTTTCTTCAAGCACTTCATAGTATTGCGACACAAATAAGCGCACTCTTTCCGAACGAGGCATGATTTAACTTGAAAATTGAGATTGAGACTTGAAGTCTTGAAAATTGGAGATTGAGAGATGAGAGAAATTTAGATTGAGAAATGAGTATTGAGTATTGAAATGAAGAAGAGGAGGGGGGTACTTATAGTGTTAGAGAAGGTTAGTTTTGTAAATTTTTTAAAAAAAAGGCTATTTGTGCAATTAATATGACCGTTGGTGTCATTGGGGTGGGGTCCTCATTTTGAAAAAATCTTGTTTTGTAGTATATATAGTACTACTTCTTCATGTAAGTATAATATATATATATACTAGTATAGTATACTAGTATAGTGTACTATATATTGTATTATGTATATATATTCCCTTATATATTTTCTTGTAGTATAAATTGTATGTATGTATATATATTCCCTTATATATTTTTTGTAGTATATATTGTATGTTATGTATATATATTCCACTATATAATTTGTTGTAGTATATATTGTATGTTATGTATATATATTCCATTATATATTTTCTTGTAGTATATATTGTATGTTATGTATATATATTCCATTATGTATTTTCTTGTAGTATATATTGTATGTTATGTATATATATTATAGCTTATAAATAATTGCAAGTTAAAGACAAAAAAAATATTGCGAAGAGATATTCAAGGCCAAGGGTATGTTTTATAATTTTTATTACCAAAATGGCATATCTTTCTTAGTCTTCTTCCCCCCAATGAATGAGCACAACAAGGTACTAATACCACCATTAAAAGGAAAAAAAACTAAAGAAAGATATGCCAAAGTACAAGTTACACCATAATCTACATTGTATCTCTAACAAATTCATAAATCCTTCAAGGTTCGGAGGAGGTTCCGGGTTGGGTGGCGGAAAAAGAAGCTTGTTCATCACGCTTCCGGGCGAAGCAGCATCCTCCGCAAGTTCCGCTATCATTTCTTCATAAGCTTCGTCTATCTCCGGTTGTGATTTTGCAAGTCCAAAGTTTCTTCTTTCCGAGCGGATCCAATCTCTGAATAGTACTGATTTTTTCCAAGCTCTCCCTCATAGACGCTCTATGATCACCTATTTGAAAGTCTTGCTTGACTGAAAGCGCTCTCTGATGCAACTGTTGAAGCTTGAATAGATAAAATATCCCGAGCCATCCTTGCAAGAACCGGAAAAATATTTTTCCCTTGTCTCTTCCACCATTCAAAGATCAAAGTGCCGTCTGGATTCTCCTTTTCAAGTCCCTGCGACAAATAAACTTGAAGCTATTTAGATGTGAAGTCTCATCAAAATTATCACCTTGAGAACCCCTAAACTCCGTCCAAGATTAAGTGCTTGTAGGCCCGCAGCTCTTTTAGATGATTGTGAACTAGACGAAGTAGGGGTTGGAACATTTGGCCTAGCATGATCTAACGCAAGTTGGTAAGCATTATAAATTGTTTGCGCATTTATTTTAATTGAGGCTTTTGCCTCTGCAAGTGTAGAAAATTCCTCAACTGAAAGATCTAAAGCCTTATAAATATTTGTGTACCAAAAGTGAGGACCTCCTAATTTCATTGTAGGATTTAAACAATGCAGGCAACACCATAAATAAAAGGGGGATAGGGAAAAACTATTTTTAAACTTTTCTTTCATTGCATTTATAGCAAGTTGATAAATTTCCCCACCTCCGAAAATTCAACAAACAAATCACAAGTGCTGCAATATAAACTAAACAATTTGAAAATAGTAGGATAATATTGTCCAGAAAAATTGCATTTGTAGCAATTTGAAATGTTCTAAAAAATCTATAAGAATTTGACATTCGTCCAATCTTGATTTTGTAAGGATTTCATCATCATCCTCACCACCAACAACGAGCATTAAACGTTGCA